GGGCCCCGCCGGGGTGAGTGGGCGGGCGGGCTCCCCCCCGCTCGCAGCCCGAAGGGAGACTGGGCCTGTCTGCGCCTGCGCGAGGGCGGCGATTCCCGCTCAGGAGCAAGAGGCCAGTGCGTTCGGGCACCAGGAATTCTTGCACAAGAAGCCCCTGTGGTGAAAATGGCCGGCAGAGCTCCTTTGCACAAGAGAGCGTCCACACTGGCACGGATGCTCTTGTGCAAGGGCACGTGCCAGTGCAGGCGCTCTCTTCTGGAAGAGTTCTTGCACAAGAAGCTGCCAGTGCTGACCTAGCCTTAATTTAATATTGCAATAGCTAACAGGCGCTCGCATCATTTCAGTAACACCCATAATGTGACACGTGCTGTACTAACATAAAAGACTCCTCCTGACTCAAAGAGCTGAGGTAGTGATCTCACGATGGTGTAAAAGTCATGGGTAATTTTCAGACAGATGGAGGGGCCTACCTCTTGTCAAAGTTCCCATAAGCCAACAGCTTGGCAGGCTGAAAATTAAGGCACAACAATGTTATGGCCAATGGTTTAATGGGGCCAGCTTGTGCCCAGCTGTCTGAGTGACCTAACCCACTGGATCAGGCACCTCTTTTGAGTTGAGTAGGCTTTCAGCATGACATCAAGCAAGACTTAAACCCATGATCTTCAGGAGTGCAGTTGGGCCCCTTTACCACTCAACTGCCCAACATCTCCTAGCAATCAGTGTTAAAAAGCCTGTGGAAAGTCAAGGCCTGGGTGACCAAGTTTCCATGTCTTTCTTTACAATCACAAGGGCCCACAGACAACTGTAAGTCAACTCCTCTCCTAGTGGCTCCTCTGCAGACTGACTTTCCCATTAGTCAGCCACTACTTCCCTTCCTTTGTTTCAACAAGAAGGTTTTGGGATAGGCTTTAATTTCTCTCCCTGCAAAGCATATCTGCAGGCAGAGTGCAAGTTTGGATGCCAATGCCCCTTGGCCCTGATGATGCGAAGGTGAGAGGCACCAGGTTAGAAATGGGAGGAGAGAGAAAGCCATGCTGAGGGGCAGAGTGAGCAGAAATGCCCTCTCTTTTCCAGTCAAGTCAGTGGGCTAGGAAACTCTTGCTCTACAGATAATGGGAAAAGGCCCATTTTAGGGGGAACAAGGAGACAATGTTCAGTGTTTATGTTCCTAACCCTCAGAGCTAGGACACTGAAAGGAACAGAGACTTCCTTTGCTGCTGCTGTTGCCTTTTTGGACAGCTTTGTGGTGTAGTTGTGTCAGTTTCACTCTGTTTCTCATCCTGCCTTGGCAAATGTATGCAGAAGTAGCTGCACAGGCATGATCCTGAATTTAATGGCTGTGTCCTGAGAAATCACCAGGACTTTCTCAGTTGTGTGATTGGGAGAGGTGGTTGGCTCTGTTGGCTGTAACCTGTCTCCTGCTTGTTGGTAGGGAGAAGAAGTGGGTTACAGTGGGAGACACGTCCCTTCGGATATTTAAGTGGGTGCCTGTAGCAGATAGTAAAGAGGTAAGTGCTGGGTCCCAGGTAAGGAAGGCCCTTAAGGATTGTGTGCACTGGCTGGAGAGGAGGAGGCTGCACATTACTGCTAAAGGGGACAGACTTAAACTGTACCCTTCAGAATGTCACCCCAGCTCCCCAAGGAAGGTCTGGCTTTGAGGATCTCCTCTTCATGTCTCAACAAACCTGTAGTTCTCTCAGGAAAACAAAGGGCCTCATTTCCCCTGGCTGCCCCTCACCAGACAAGAGAACCAGTTGTCACTTGTGTGGGGATCCCTAGGGCAGGGGAGCTCTGGTCAGTTTGCTCACTGGAAGGCCAGTCTTCCTACAGCAATCAGCTGCAGGCGGGGGTAAGCCCAGCCAGCCACAGAGCATCTGTCATGTGACTAGCAAGTGCCGTTGCTACTGCTGGGGAGGGCACTGTTTGATGCCCTGCTGTCTCTCTCCCGTCTGCTTGCTGCCTGTGGTGACTCCATGTTCTCTCTCCTGTGTAGAAAGAGAAGTCCAAAACAAGTGGCAGCACTGCCCGAGAACCCAATGGCTTCCCAGCTGACACATCGGCCAACTCCTCCCTTCTCCTGGAATTCCAGGGTGAGTCTGCTGACCCCCAGCATGCAGGCTGGCAAGGAAAGGGCACTGCTGCTCTTCATACCACAAGGACTTTGTAAATATTGAAGTGTCATTAGTATCTATGTCTTGCACATCACCCCAGGAGCAACACAGATTTTTACAAGGGATGTTGTTCTAACACACAAGAAGGGCCATACTGCATCAACCAATGATCAGTATAGCCCAGGATCCAGTCTTCTGATGGTGGCCAGTGCTGGCTGCATCAGAGGGAATGAACCACAAGCAGTGGTTATGTGATCCATCCTGTCATCCATTCCCAGCTACTGGCAGTCAGAGGCTAGGAACACCCAGAGCAAGGAGCAGCATATTTGCTTATCCTGGCTGATAGCCATTTTGGATCTGTCCTGCATGAATTTATTCTTTTTTTGACCCTCTTATATTTTTGGCCTTTCCAACATCACTTGGCAGGGAGTTCCACAGGTTGACTACATGCTGTATGAAGAAACATGTCCTTTTGTTTGTTTTAAACCTGTTAGGCCTTCAGGGTTATCCATGGTGACACTGTTAATTACCACTAGGAGAGGACTTCAGACTAATCTCCCCTTCCCATCCCAGAAGGGGGCACTGCAGGGACTGGTGTGGAGAATTGGAGGAGCAGAGATCTCTGCCCCCAGCTGCTGCTCCTGCTTCCTTTTCTCCAGTGACTGAAGTGTGGGGAAGCTGTTTGCGGCCTGCAGCCAGCACATCTTGCTCTGTAGCACTCTGCAGAGCCGGGCACAGAGATCTCCTGTACTGTTAGGATGGAGTCTTTCTGGGCATGTCCTGCTTTAGGACAATGGCTCCCAAAGGTTTTACTGAAATGTCCTTCCAGCTGCTTTTTAGTGATCTCTCCAGGGTCCAGATTCCTGGGGAGGGAGGACAGAAACACAGGTCAACCCTCTTCTCCACTGCCTTGCCCCACAAAGGGGTACCAGCCTGAGGTGTGTCCATGCCAAACATAAGCAAGTGGAGCTGTGACCTCATGAACCAGGTTGCAGTACCCAGAGCATGGAGCTGAGCCCAGCCTCACAGGACGGGAGCCATTGCTGCAGGGTGAGCGTGAGGCAGGCTTGTTCTTTAACCCCCATCCCTCAGAGCCTCCTCTTGGGAATGCTGCTGTAAGAGTCCTACGGGCAAGGCCCAGACCGATTCTGTGGTGGATCCAGGATGGACTTTAATTTTAAGAAGCTTCAGGGGGTAGCCGAGTTAGTCTGTACAGGAGAAACTTAAAAAAACAACCAATAGTCTGGTAGCACTTTAAAGACTAACAAACCATGTCGATGGGATCATGAGCTTTCCTGGGCACAGCCCACTTCTTCAGATGGCCGGAGTGTTGGATGTCCAGGACCAAAATAAATAGGGGAGAAAGGAGAGGGGTAGAATAAGTAAAAAAAAACAGGAGTGGGGGAAATAGAAGTAGGGGGGAAGGACAAGAAGAGGCAGTGGGTAAAGAAGGCCACTTGTCTCTTCTTGTCTCTCCCCTCCCATTTTTTTGCTTCTTCCATTTCTGCCTCCCCCCCCCCCCTATTTATTTTGGTCCTGGACATCCAACACTCTGGTCATCTGAAGAAGTGGCCTGTGCCCACGATAGCTCATGATCCCATCGACATGGTTTGTTAGTCTTTAAACAACAGACTATTGGTTGTTTTTTTAAGTTTAATTTTAAGGCCAGTTTTGCTCTTTGGCCCATTCCATTTGGCCATAAGGGCTTTAGGAAGCCAGAATGGGTAGGAATGGTGTCCCTAGCTTGTTTGTCAGAGACTGGGAATGGGTGATAGGGGAGGGATCACTTGATGGTTACCTGTTCTGTTCACTCCCCGTGGAGCACCTGGCATTGGCCACTGTTGGAAGACAAGACACTGGGCTAGGTGGACCTTTGGTCTGACCCAGTCTGGCCAGTCTTATGTTCATTTGCTTCAGAACCAGGACAGCCTAGGAACCACTACTGAACAGATTTGTGTCCCAATCCCACAAAGTTGCTCTTTGCTCAGCAAACACCTCAGGGACCCTCCTCTGCCTGTTCTCTCTTCCCATACTTGGTCTTTTCCTTCTTGGAGGAGTGGTGTCCCGGACATTGACTCTGAAAATCTTACGTGGCTTGGGAACAGCTGCAGAGCCCTCCTGTTGGGTGTGAATCCTCCCTGCTCCGTATGGGGTGCCCCCATTCAGTGCTGCCCCTGCTGGGCCCCTTGTGCTAACGCAGCAGTGAACTTGGCATCCCCCAACATGCTGATGACTTTTCAGATGAGACCAGTAACCAGAGCTCCCTGTCGGATGTCTACCAGCTCAAAGTCGACAGCAGCCCAAACTCGAGCCCCAGCCCACAGCAGAGTGAGTCAATGAGTCCTGCGCACACGTCTGATTTCCGCACGGACGACTCACAGCCGCCTACACTGGGGCAGGAGATCCTGGAAGGTATAGTCTGGCCAACTGCACTGGGAGAGGAGATCAGGGAGGGGGTAGGCGGGACAGCCTTAAGAAAAGCACAGTTCAGTCAGCCATTCTGGGCTTGGCGAGGCCTGGACAGCTGCCCATGATGGGGTGGGTGAGTTTCTGGTTCTTGCTCCTAGCAAATAGTTTGCTGCCTTGTTCTTGTGGGCGGAGAGGGGCTGGGCTTCCTGCTGGAGGTATAGCTTGGGAGGAGGGTTGTCAACCCTCCAGGATTGTTCTGGAGTTTCCAGGAATAAAGATTGATCTTTAATTAGAAATTGTTGTGCTGAAACCACCAGAATGGCAGCCCTACTTGGGAGGCTGCGTTCATGCATGTTAGTGCTGCATGTCCAACGTGGTGCTTTTCCTAGGCCCCTGTGGTGCAAGGACAGCAGAGTTCTGCCCTCCAGGCAGAGCCATACAGTCCTGAGAGTATGTTGTGGGTGTAGCTGGCTGGCTCACTCACTCCGTGAGCCTTTACCATTGGGCTCGTAGGGCCAGCGCACCCTCACTCTGCCTGCTCCCTTCCAGAGCCCTGCCTACCTTCCTCGGAAGTTGCAGATGAGCCTCCCACTCTCACGAAGGAAGAGCCTGTCCCTCTTGAGACTCAGGTAAGGGGAAGGGGAACCAGAGCAGACCCAAGCTGCACCACTGTCCCATTGGGGCATTGCCCTGGAAACCTACCAATGGCAGGTTGGGTGATGACCCCATGAACTCTCAGTGCTGCCCATTTGAGAGAAGCACCCAGCTCATGCTTTCCCTGCAGGCTTGGGTGGCCCTCAGCCCAGGTTCCTCGCCAGTGTCGAGCTGCGAGTGCCAAAATCAGCAGTGACTGGAGAACTGAAAACGTGGGGACGGCCTGAAAGAAGCACAGTAACTAAGTAGGCTGCTGCACTTGGCCAGCTGTTCTTGTTCATTAAAAGGCTCCTCTGTGCCAAGCTGTTGGAGCTTCCCACTAGAGAGCGGGACTCGAGACCTGGCCTCAGCAATGCCATCGTTTTTATGAAATGCCCTGGGCAGTGCTGGCAGCGAGCTTGTGCTGTTGGTGCTGCTAATGGCCCAGGTGGGATGCCCTAGGCCGCAGCGCCTCATGGTCGGAGTGTAGCCTCTGCTCTTCCCTTCAGGGCTATTGGTTCCTTGTGAGCAGAGCCCAGGGGCTGTTGCTGAGCTGTGCACAGAGCGGAGAGCTGCATGCCTTGGTGCCAATGACTTCTGCTTTCTTGCTGTTGTAGGAAACTGAAGAGGATTCTGGGGCACCACCTCTGAAGAGATTTTGTGCCGAGCAGAACTCTGTATGCCACACAGCCTTGGAGAGCTAGCCTGCCCTCCCCAGGGCCGGGCCACTTCCGGCACACCCCTGCAGAGACAGCCTGCCCTCCCCAGGGAAGGGCCCCTTCTGGTGCACCTCTGCAGAGCTGGCCTGCCCTCCCCAGCGCTGGGCCCCTCCTGCCAGATCTCCCCTCCTCCCCCATTTCCCGCAGAGCTAGCCTGCTTTCTCCTGGGACTCTCCTGCTGGACTCCCTGCAGAGCTGGCCTGCCCTCCCCAGGGAGAGGCCCCTCCCACCAGCCCCCGTAATGCTGGCCTGGCCCTCCTGCTACTCCTCACAGAGGAACTTATTTGTCCTTCCCTCTGGGCAGGGCAGGGCAGTCCCTGCTATCAGTATGTGCAAACTTGCCTCTATTTATTGGCTCCCTTTTCCTGCTGCTCTGTGCTGGTGCTGCAGGGTCTGGGCCTGCAGCCTGCTTGTGGGAGGTGCTGTGTGTTCTGGGTCTCCTGCTCTGCCTGATGCCAGCTGAGAGCTGCAGCCTGGCAGACAAGAAGCCCCTGCAGGACTTGGAGTCTGTGCTTGAGTGAGGCGCTGTGCCCCCAGTGGCCGGGACTGGAAGAGCCCTTCCCCCTGCACTGTTTCTCTTCACTGGTGTGACCATGTCCTGGAGCTTCCCACAGTAAACAAGCCTCCCTGATGAGCCCGGAGGAATTTGGGGAGTGGTTGGGCCACAGGACCTTGCAGCACTGGGGCTCTGACAAAGGCGTTTGCCTGCAGGACAAGAATTTCAAGCTGGGACACTGTGCAATAGCTGTTGGTTTAAGCCATTTGTGCTGGAGGAGACAGGAGCCACCCTGCTAAGGAGGGAAGGCAGCTGAGTGCTTCAGGACACAGCCGCCCCCAGCTATGCCCTACGGGGCCTCTGGACGCAGGATGGCAGCATTCGAGGATGCAGGCTGCTGTTAGTATTAGATCCAGGGAGGGTGCCCAGGTCCCAGCTGACTCTGTGCCCTGAGCCTGGCATGGACATACTGTTCCTAATGTGAGGGCCCCTGGCAGAAGCAGCAAAGGTTTGCTGCAGCTTGGGGCCCACTACAAGTCTGACCTCAGGGATGAGGAAGGACTCAGAAGGGCCTTAGGTCTCTCCCAGCAAACCCAGGGGCCTTGGTTCTCACTCTCCCAGGAATGTTGGGGCCACATCAGGTCCCAGGACATCTTATACGGGCTACCCCCAAGGCCCTGGCTGGTCACCCAGCTCCCAGGGAGCGCTGCTCCCCAGGCTTGTTTATCATGGAGCTCCCATCCCTCCTCCTCTCCAACGCCATGGACCCGTTTCCTCTTCGTAACAATCTGCATGTGAAATCAAGTCTGTGAGTGAGTCTCTGTTGAAGCCGAAGGCGCCAGTTAGGCATGGGAGTGGAGAGATATTTTAGCACTGAATAGAATATTTTTAAAATTAAACTATTTGAAATACCCTGTGTGAATTTCTCAGCAGCAGCTTGGGGAGGCTGTGGACCTACCATAGAGCTCTGCAAGTGCAGAAGCAACAAGATATAGTGACAAGACGTTTCCCATAAAATTGAGACTGTCTACTATGTAACTTGTAGTCCTTGTCCTGCCAAGGTACAGTCTTGCTGCCATTTGTCCCGATATTGTAGGATTGCCAGGTGTCTTGTTGGCCAAGGTTGGCTCCATGCCGCTCCCTGGAATAGCAGAGACATGTCCCTCTGATGCCAAGACACTGGGGAGGGGCGGGGTTTTGGGTCTGTCTGCAGCTCCTATTGGCCAGGCAGGATAATTGGAGGCCCAGGAGTGGCACCTGTGGGCAGAGGCAGCAGAAGTGCTAGAAGCCTGAGGGACATGCTGCTGCTGGAGAGCTACCCAAGGTAAGTGCTGCTTTCAGATGGGCTGTGCACCCTTAGCCTGTGGCTTGTAGGAGGTGCCATATGCTTGTGAAAGAGGCAGGAGTGGGGCCATGCTCCTCTGCCTTGCAGCAGTGGCATCTGCCTCCCTTGTGGCTTCCTGTGGCTGTTCCTCCTCCCCCTGCTGCAGCCAGTGTGAAGGAGTCCATTACTTCTAGTTACGAGCAGAACCTGTGGAGCTCTGAGAGTGTGCGTGCATGGTGGAGAGTTTCTGCTGTTTCCAGGTGATTGTGCCCCATCGGTATCCTCAGCCTCTCCTGGCAGTGAGGCTGGGGTGGTTATGCCTCCAGGAGAACATTGCTTTGCTACCTGGTCACATGCCCAGAGTCCAGAATCTTCTCAGACCAGTTTATCAGGAATTTATCTCTGAGTCACGTGTGTTCCATAAAGACAAGTTCTTCTTCGGGGATGTCCCCGCGGGTGCTCCACTATGGGTGCTGGGCTTGCCCCGGCGCCGCAGACGGAGACTTGTCAGTAGCAGTATCCGGCCCCACCACGCATGTGCCGCAGGCTCGCGGCTTTCGCGCTCTTTCCGTCGCGCGGTCCGGCCACCCGCCAGTTCCTCTTCACCGCCTCAGGCTGCAGACGCCTGTAACCGCGCTCCTCTCTCCTCAGAACTAGACAGCTTCTAGTTCTCCCTTTCTACATATAAAATCTCCTTTTCCCTCCCTCTCCCCTCTCTCCCCATAAAGTAAAAAACAAAAAAACAAACTTTTCTTTCAAGAGGGGAAGGATAAACAAGAGCTATCGGGAGTGAAAGCGGAGACCGCTCTTACCTCCCGCCTCTCAGTTGTTCTCCTGTCAGCTCCTCCGTATAGAGCTCCGTTCACCTAAAAAAAAAGAAAAAAGAAAAAAGAAGACAGACTGTTAAGATATCAAGAACAAAAGATAGCTATCAGCTTTAACAACCACCTACTGTCAAAACCATTAACAGATAAGAAGCAGCGAGCTCCCGACATGTCAGCTACCTGCTTTAAAAAATGCGGCTCCTGCCGGGAGGCAATGCCAGCCTCTGACAGCCATACAGACTGTATTCGTTGCCTGGGGGAGTCTCACATCCCCCAGAAGTGTCACCATTGCCTAAGGCTCACCTCCAGAGCCAGGAAAGACAGGGAGAGGCGCCTCCGTATGCTGCTTTTTGATACAGCCCTGCAGCCGCAGCAAGCTGACTTGAATCAGCAGCCGCTTAAGCTCCGGGCTTCCTCCACTACTGTGGGACTGGAGAAGAAATTGACATTGTCCCCAGCAAGATCCCTGCCAGCTGCCTTGAATGGCAGGGACAGCCAGGCACAGACACCGGGGACCTCTGGCATTCCAAAGCCATGTCCCCCTGCCTCAGGGGCTTCAAAGTCTAAGCGGCCACGGGAGCCTGCAAAGACGTCAGCTCCCCAGCCGGCTTCAGTTCAGCCGCTGCCTCCTCCTCCGGCGCCGAGCGTTGAGCCGGCGCCGAGAGCAGCCCCGGACCCGATCACGGCACCTGCCCCGACACCTGCCCGGCACCGCCTTCGAGTCACCGCGCAGTGCCGGACTACCGCCTTCCAGTAGCTGCGCGGTGCCGGACCACACGGCGCCGACCAGTTCTGGGGCCGGCGCGGTGCCGATCGCTCCTGCTCCTCCACACCAGGAGCTAAGTAATTCAGCGCCTGCCGCACATCAATCACCCCGGAGCCCTGCTCCTGCTGCTGCTTTCTATTCCCCACGCCGCCGCAGCTGCTCCTGCTCCCGCTTCTTCTCCCCAGCACCGTCCTCTTCTCAGCCGGCGCTGCGATCTCCACGCCGGTCCTCTCACCGGTGCCGCTCTGCTCACACCTCGTCGAGACTGCCCTCCCCGTTTCTGGCTGCTGGATCTCCCCATCGCAGGCACCAGTACAGGCATCTCTCTGCCTCTCCTGCCTCCTCCAGGGCATCACACCTCCGCTCCTGCTCGCCCTGCTCCCCGTACCGTTATCGGTACGGCAGCCACTCCAGCTTCAATTATGACCGTTCGCCGCATCATGGCGCCTACCATCGCGATGACCGTGACTCTCGACATTCCCATAGCCGGTATTCTTATCAACCACGATCCGTCTCTAACTACGCTGCACACAGGCGCTCTCCAACCCCGGCTCCCCTTACTCCTCCGCATCATGCGCCATCACCATCTCACCACTCTTCAGAGCCGGAACATACTCCCTTCGTGCACCATGCCTCGGGGTCTTCCATTCCAGTCTCATCTCCTCCGGAGGATGCAGTGAACCCCGACGACAGCTCTCCTCCAGACGATCTCCGTCAATTCCAAGAATTATTTAAGCAGGTATCGATTACCCAGGAGATTCCCCTACAAGAGCTCAAAGATAAGCAACACAACCTTTTTAGGAATCTCCAACCACGACACAGTTCACGCCTCGCCATCCCTCTCAACGAAGGCATCCTGGAACTGGCTGACGAAGTGTGGCATGCTCCAGCGTTGGCCCTTCCCACCAACAAAAGAGCCGACAAGAAATATTTTGTGCCACCAAAGGGCATGGAATTCCTCTTCACCCCTACACAGCCTAACTCTTTAGTAGTTGACACAGCTCAGCAGAGATCTAGAGCCCCTCATCTCAAACACCAGGGCTCTGATAAAGACGTAAGGAGGCTTGACGTCCTGGGCAGAAAGATATACACCTCAGCGACTTTACTCCTCAGAATCGCCAATTACTCGGCGCATCTTTCCAATCATTCCTTCGACACAATTTCACACCTCACTCCTCTCATGGATCATCTCCCTGATTCAAAAAGATTGATCCTGAGGTCAGTCATCCAAGAGAGCTACACATCAGCGAGAACGTCCCTCCAGATGGCCATGGACGTGGCTGATACTGCTGCTCGCTCTGCCGCTATAGCTATTGTTATGCGTAGAGCTTCTTTCCTTCAAGCGGCAGGAGTGCCAAAGGAACTACAGACGAAGGTCGAGGACTTACCCTTCGACAAGGATAAGCTCTT